CTGGTGAAGGATGTAGAAGCTTTGCATATGATAGAAGCTCTGCATATGATAGCAGCTATGTGATGGGGAAGCTTTTGGGTCAAGCAGTGATGTGCTTAAGCATTAGGAGTCAGCATAAAGGAGGAGACGATGTTGAAAAAATTGTATATCAGCTTTTGGGAGGTGTATGGTTCTTTTTTCTACGCTAGCTCTATTTTGCTCTCAACCAGCAGGGTGCAGCACCTCCCTGATAAACTTTTGCAAAATACCAGGTAGGATGCAGGTGTGTGTATTGTAAAGTGTGTTTCATATATAGGCATTTACATTTTATTTGAAGGGTATGGAGGGAAGGTATGGCCAAGGGAGGTCATACAATGACCATATGATACACACATTAAAAACGAAAGCTGTCATTGATAGAGAATCTGTGTATTCTACTGTCTGTGGTCTTTCCCTTAATTACAGCTGTAAAAAACACATACAAAACCTATAAGGCAAAAGTGTTCTTAAAGTTAAGTGACTGCACTTGACTGACACAGTTGGAGTAGTTAATCTTTCTGTCCTCTAAGAAATTTTAGAATAGACCACATATATAACTACAAAAGAATACTCATTATTGATTCACCTGGTGTATGTGGAAGTGGTAGACTGAGAAAATAAGGCTCCTTTGTAGACTGGAGAAATTTCTACTTAGGGGAGGTTTATTATAGCTCTTTGGAAACTTCTTAAAACTGATCCTATTTGGGTTAATATTTTGTTGCATGTATTTAGGAGCTGGTTTGAGTGGACGACAAGTACATAGGACACAAGCTGTCTTCAACCACACAGAAGACTATGTGCTGCTTCCAGATGAAAGGACCATAAGTCTCTGCTGCTGGGATTCAAGAACTGCTGAACGGAGAAATCTTCTTTCTCTTGGGCACAACAGCATTGTCCGTTGTATTGTCCATTCTCCTACCAATCCTGGCTTCATGACCTGCAGTGATGACTACAGGGCTAGATTTTGGTACAGAAGGTCAACGACAGACTAAGGACAGCTTTATAAAACCGTGATTATCCAGATTCATTATATCATCGTGTTTTGATTGTACTGCCAACAGATGCCTAGATGAAAACCATGCTGTGTCTGTTTTTTAGTTCTGTCAAATGTGGCAGAAAAATATCAAAAATACTGAGACTTAAGTTTTGCCCCACATTAATTTTTTTTATTAGTGTGTGTGGCATTAGTTTTTGTAAGTCATCTCTAATTGAGGAGTCGAGGGCGGGGAATAACATGATCCTTGCAGGAAGGATTAAACTTGTTCTCTTGTCTTTCTAAATCCTGCAAAAGATAATGTGACTGTATCTTGCTCAAACTGGGCAGTATGAGCCAGTTTTGCTCTGCATTGTATCTGTGCAATCCCACTGAAGTCTGTTTAAAGAATGGATTACACAAGTAACAGCAGAACTTGGCAAATATTTTAATGAAGCCTTAAGCTGCCTTCAGTTCTGATTCATTCTTTATAAAGCTCTCTAATATCTTCTAGTCTGGGGGGTTTTTGGTGGATTTTTTTTTTTTTTTTAATTGGCCAAGTGGACCTTCAGTTCTGAGCCAGTCTTGTGCCATAAGAATTTGAAACAGGATTTTAAATTGTTCAGGTGAATTCAAGAAATGATGTTCTAGTTCTGGTATTAAAGCTCAGACTTGAAATCTTGTTGTCTTTGGAATTTATCTTAACCAGTGGGACCTCAAAGTAAATTCATAGTATTTTCAAGAAATCCACATTGCAACTGTAAAATGTGACCATGCTGCAGCATGTGGAAGTGATAATAATTTTGCCATAGAGACCTTTAGGATCCTCTCAAAGAAAGAAACTTGTGCATATTAATTTTTGTATATGTACCTCAGAATTGTCACTTTGCTTCATTTGATTGAGAATTTTCATTCTGTTACACAGCACTTGAATTACATTCTTTTTTTTTTTAATTATTCAAAAACCCAGACTCCCCGTTTCTTCTCCCTGTTATCTCTGATAGTCCTAACTTTCCCAGACTCATCCTATTCAACAGAAGTACAGATCATTGAGAAACTCTGTGCTTAAACCTTCTGTGAGTTTTAAAATTCACTACTTACTTTTACAGACGGTTGCCTGTGCAAAGTTTTAAATGTGTCTATTCAAGTGTCCTTGTACAGTGCTTTTGGGCTTCACATGCAGGAGGCTTCCTTTAGTCCAAGTGCAGCACTTGCTTTCAGGAGGATTTTACTGCTGGATTAACTTTACATTACCATGGATAAAGTGTCTTGTCAAGGGCTGATGAGGGTAGAGGTTCTGTCTATGTTTAAATAAAGGTTACCTTTTAAAAAGTTATTTAATACATAAAAAAAGAAATGCATTAGTTGTCTATATAACAAAGGAGAAATGAATATTGGCAGGCTCTCTCTTTGGGGACATGTTAAAGCTTGATGAATTCGTTTGTTTTGTTACATCTGAATCGGGTACAACTATAGATCTACAGTATAAAATGTGGGATGGTTTTTTAAAAGAGGGAATGAAATTTAATTTTATCTTCAAAGTTACTGCTATGGAAGACATTTCTTAGGCTTAGCAATCCTCTTTGCTCTTCCTCTGCCTCCCTTCAAGTTTCTCAAATTTCAGAAACATGGGAGGCATGAGATAGCAGTTCTGGTGCCTTTTTTGGTGGAGAAACAAGGAGAAGCAGGGCTTGGTGGGAAGGAAGAGGGAAGTCCTGACACACAGTTATTAAGGGGTGCTGTACTTGGTCAGTGAAAGCACCCCTCTGCTCTTACAGCCAGCCTGCTAAATTCGTAGCAGTGGCTTTTTTTTTTTTTTTCTGAGTGCCATATTTGTTTCAATTCTGTTAAAGAAGCTGTCCCTAAGTAGCACATTTGCTGCTAGTGTTTGGACTCCTCTATTTTGAAAACACTGTTTTGGTGTTGTATGTATTAAACCACTGCAGTGGTTGTAAGTTAGCAGCATGCTAGCTTTCACCTCAAGCTTCCTTAATTCTGTGGTTTTTTAACTTGCGGGGTAGAAATACAGTTTTAATCTGCTAAAGCAAAAACATCCTGACCTTGGCACCTCTCTTTTCATTCTGTATATCATCTTGCTTGCAGCCAGAAGTTTGGTATTTTTCTGTTGAAGAAATAAGGGTTGGAAGAAACTTAACTCGTCCTATTTAGGTAGATAATACAACCCCGGCGTGAAATAGCTGAGTACCACAGCATCCCAGTGCTGTGACTGGGGATGAGAATGAGAGGGAGGTAAGGCTGCTACACAGCATTCAGAGCAAGCACGTGGGGAAGGACAGTAAAGAGGAGCCGTGGCTGAGTCTTGAAGAAGGCTGTGCACACACATGTAGTTGTCCTGTTAGATCTGCATTTGATCGAAGGGGAATACATCTTTTCACTGTGCAAGTTTGGAAGTATCTAACTAACCTTTCTTCACGTGATCATGCTTACTGCTACGATCAGAGAAGCTTCCCACCTTGAAGTTGTATTTTATACAATTCCAGTGCAGGCGCTTGCCCTTCACCAGTTTTGTGGTCTGTACCTCTTGGTAGCTACAGCCCTGTGAGCTGCTCTGCTCGGAGTACAGTCATGCTCAGGATTTATCGCCTCCTCCAGAAAGTCTCCATGACCTCTCTAAAGGTCTGCTGTATCTGTCTGGCATGGAACCTCAGAAGAAGCTATCATGGAAACAGCAGGGTGACGCCTCGGCTAGCGCATCAGGCCAACGAGCCATGCTGCTGTGAAAGCAAAGCAACTTTGGAGACAAATCTTAATTATGGCTTGGTACCTTTTGGCCTTCAGCCTTCCTTGGCACACTGTCTTGGCAGTCAGTAACTGGCACATGGCTCTAGGAAAAGCCTTTCCTAAAAGGCTGCTTTTGGAATTAGGCTTGTTTGCCACCCATTGAGACAGGTTTCAAAGTTTTTACTTAAGAGGGGCTACTGCTCTGGGACTGGTATTTCTCCTTTCCTGGACACGGGGGCTGGCTTTCTACCAGCGCTGCCCTGTGAGACTGAATCCCAGGAAGAACTGAAGTGCGATAAGGGAAAAGCAGTTCGGGTCATCATAGTTCAGGTGAGGAAGTTCTCTGTGTGGCTGTAAGGGCCCCTTCAAACACGCTGCAGCACAACTGCTCTCGCTGAGCAGGACGGTGCCGGACAGGAGCCGAAGCCCACGCGTTTGCTGTGTACGTGGGTAAGCCTTGGTGCAGCCAGGAGGAGTCTCACACTGCGCTCACCCCCAGGTACCCAGAGAAATACATACCATTTTCACAAAGCCCCTGTATAACAGAAAGTTGTATCTGTGGCTTAAATGTTGAGACAGCTTTGGAAGGTGTGAAAAATGTTGGCTTTGAAATCCTGAATTGCAATGATTGTGGCAGTCGCTTCTGTTGAGCCTTGTGCAGCCCCCTGTGGCCCGTGGCATTATATTCATCACATTTCTAAAAGAGGAAATACAGGAACATGTACCAAAACAGAAGGGTGAGACTTCTGACTGCGGTTAATTGCAACAAGTTGGTGACAGAGAGGTCAAGGAAAATTCCACTTGCAGACAGACTTATTTTCTCGCTTTTAGGCGCTAATAGTGTTTTTCTGGTTTGCATTCCGTTCCTTTTCTTATCTGTTGTCGCCCTTCACAAGAATCTTTTCTACAAATTCCTAAATGCTTTTGGGGGTAGAGCTGTCAGACGCGCTTTCTTGAGACGTAGTTCCTACAACACAGGGTGACTGTGCACAGCTGACGTCTCCTCATCCTGCGGCAATTACCTGTTTCGCTCAAAGTGACGCTGCTGCCGAATGACAACAATGGATAAAAACACAGGAATCCACAGCGCTGCAAAGGTATGTCGGGTTTTCTGAGTACAGGATATAAACAATTAAGAAAAAAAGGAGTCCTAGAGTAGGGTTTGGTGTTTGAATTCAGCATGAAGCTTGGTGATGTTGGAAGTGTTTCCTTGTGTTACACACAGAACAGAAGAAATGTTGAAGTAATATATTGGGGTTTTTTGAAAGATTGGAACTAGTTTATAAGGTTTTTTATATTTATTTGTGCTTCATATTGCCTCTAGTATAATTTTATATATATACGTAGGTGAAATAACCTGCTGCATCTGTAAGGGCTAGAGAACACTGGAGTCTTGATTCGAAGTCAGCACCTTGATTACTGTTGGCAAGTTAATAAGCAGCGTAATGGAATTATTATTTTCATCCTGGATTATGATCTCAGTGTTTACTGTAAATAAACTGCCTCCTGGAAATTTGATACAAATATAGTGGAAAAAAAAGCTTAGCACTAGCTCGATGAGTCATTTTTTGCACTCAAAATTTTCCATTGAGGCATGTCAAGAGAAAAGGACTATTTTTCACATTTGAAAAAAAAATTGATGCAGGACATTTTTCATTGCTATACTGAGAAGAGCTTCTACTTCTAGGTATGATCTTTTCAGTTTTCTTAAATGCTTTCCAATGGCTAAATAAATGTGATGGCAGCAAGTAGATTTCCTGTTCTGCTGTGAGATCCTTAGACACAGCCACAGCACACCCAGTCAAATTCAGCTGAAATAACAACTGAAAAAGTCACATTTCTTTCTGCAATATAATTTATGAACTGTGTATATGGTTCATGCTCTCCTAGCAGTACTGTTTATTACAATATTTGAATGTTATACTTAATACAAAAAGACTAAGGATGTGTTTTTTCTGCTATCTGGACTTCTCGAAGCACCGCGTGCCAACCAGCAGTAGCTTTGCTGGGACGGGTGACACTCTGCAATTACCACTGTGCCCCAGCTATTCCAGCCTCACAAGGAAAAATGTTTCTGACAATGAATTCAGCACATGAGCACAGCCAGAGCAATGACATTACTTCTGTCTCGTTGCGTACACACCTGTGACGCTGTCTGCACGGGAAAGGCTGCACCTCTTGGTGCAGTTTACAACACGGTCAGCGTGATGAGCTGCGCCTGGTTTGTTTCTGTGAGCTCCCAGCACCCAGGGCTGTCCCTGCACTCCGGGGTGCCTGCTGCCACCCCTCCCCGGGCTCTGTCTCGGACACCTGGGGGCAAACACGTTTTTTTTGGATTTGGCAGAGTTCATACATCGAGCAAGGAGTTACTGAAATAGCCAAGAGGAGATACTGGGGAGAATGGCTGTTCTCAGGGATGCAGTGGGGTGGAAGCGGACTCGATGCCCAGCTTTCCTGGGGACGAGGTAGAACTTTAGTTCTGTCACAGGCAAAGTGGGCTCAACCCAGGGAATTTTCACCTCATTTAATTTATCGCCAGTTAGCACAAACTTCTAATCACTGATTCGAGTGATTGAGAAAGAATAAACCATGAACAATTAAGCAACTCCCCCTTTCTCATCCCAACTTGCCTTATTTTGGGGGGTGGAGGGGTGTGCACAGTCCACCCCAGTTCTTTCAAGGAGGCAACTGGAGGTTGGGGCCAAGGGAAAAGCTCTCCAGCTGCTGCTCTGGGATTATCTG